TCTAAGGGTTAATAAAGTATTATAGACCAGAGAGAAAGAAAAAGCAATCAGTTATACATTTTACATAATCACAATAACTTAATCCTCAAAATCTGATGAAAAGAATACCAAAAAATGACTCCAATCTCACTCATGTTTACTGAAGCAAGGTTCTAAATAAAATATTAATTCTGGCAATGTATCAAAATAATAATGCACTATGAACAGTGGGTTCATTTTAGTAACATAAGAGTAGTTCAAAACAAGAAAATCCATCAACGTAATTCATTGTATCAAAAATTTCAATGAGGGCGGGGAGTGTAGCTCAGTGATAAAGCATTTGCTTAGCATGTGCAAGACCCTAGGTTCCATCCCCAGCACTGCAAAAACAAACAACAAAAAACTTAAATGAAAAACAAAACCAGCATGATCGACAGATGTTAAGAAAGTATTTGATAAAATACAGAAATAATTCCCTTCCTTAAATAATATCTTCAGTAAATAAATAAATTAAATATAATAAAATAATAAACATCAACAGCAAATAAAGAGGAACACAGAAAATATCTCAATTTATAATCACTTTTAGGCAGACTAGTCTACCAGCACCTTTTTAAAAAAATTAGCTCTTTGAGTTTCATATAAATGCAACAAGAAAATGAAATAACTTAAAACCATTGGAAAGAAAAAATTAAAAATTTAGCAGAACTAACAAAAAAATTAGTAACATAAAACATAAGATAAATATTTTGAAATTAATAATATTTTTCTATTTTAGCAGGAAGCACTTGGAAAGGGGAAAATATTACATGCATAACAGAGAAAACAGCTGTTCTTGAGGAATAAATGAATCAACAAAGGCTTAGATTAGATAAGAAGAAAAGGACAGATCTAACTGAAAGATATAAAACAAGATCTGAATAGATGAAAATACTATTTCTTAGATTAAAATAACAATATAATAAAAAACTAAATTATACATTTAATGTAATTATATTTAGAATCCTAATAGGTTTGGTGGGTAGTGGCTAAAATGATCTTAAAATGCTTATTTAGGAAAAAGTGCCAAAGAATAGCCAAAAATATTTTAAGCTAATGCAATCAAATCACTGTGACTTTGATTAAAATAAAACACAGATAAATAGTGCAGGGTGCAGTGGTGCATATCTCTAATTCCAGTGACTAGAAACGCTGAGGCAGGGGGATTGCAAGTTCAAGGTCAGCCTCAGCAACTTAGAGAGAGCCTCAGCAACTTAGCAAGATCCTGTCTCAAAATAAAAAATAAAAAGGATTAGAGATGTAGTTCAGTTGTGAAGTGCCCCTGGATTCAATGCCCAACACACACACACACAAAAAAGAAAAGAATAAAGAAAGAAAGAAAAAAAAGAAAAGAAAAAAAAGCCAAATAGATAAAATGGAATAGAAAGTCAATAAATAGACCCTAGTATATAAAACATTTAATGATTGACAAAGATGGCTATTCGGTTTACAGAGTAGGAGTTAATATATTATTCTAGCACAGCTGTTTTCCATCTTTGATAAAACAATCTTAAACATGACTAGAAATCCAGAAGTTATAAAGAGAATCATCTTTGGATATGAAAAAAATGTAAAAAAAAAATTATTTGTGGGCCAAAGTTATGGTTCAGTGGTAGAGCACTTATCTATTACATGTGAAGCCCTGGGTTCAATTCTCAGCACCACATAAAAAAATAAATGAATAAAATAAAAAGTTAAAAAGTTACATCATTTAAAGAAATTATATAGCTATATCCATGAACAAACAATAATGACAGATAAAAGGCCAACACCTAAAATGTGAAGGACATCTCACCAATTGAGGAAAATATAAATAATCCATAGGAAAATGGGCAGATGATATGAATAGAGAATTCAAAGAATAAGTTTAATTCAACAATAAAAAAGAAATGAGTATACTGAAATTCATTAGTAGCCAAGGAAATACATTCATTAGGTTGTCCTATTATAAAAGAATCATAACACGCATTATTTACAGAGATAGAGAAAATAATAATCTCATATATTAGAAATAAAAACAAAAATTAAAGTATAACAGCCTGATTTGTAAATCAATATGGCATCATCTGTTAACAAACATATTTATATATAAACATTCATATATATCCATCTACAAGTTTAAATCAACAGTATATAAGGCCACATGCATAATGTTTATTTCACCATGGATTTTAGCAGCAGAAATCTGGAAAGAAAGTAAATGTTCATTAATAAGGGAATGACTAGATAAATTATTATTTCTGTGAAATAATTTGCAGCTATATAAAAGAATAAGATCTATATTAATAGGCTTTGATAGATTTCATGAGATATTATTGACTGGAAAAAGATATGTTAAGGGATATATAAGACTCTAACAGTAAGATGAACAATGAACAACAACAAAAATATACCACAACCTACACAATTATGAGTGTGTGCATGTGTGTGTGTGTGTGTGTGTGTGTGTGTGTGTTCCTATGTCCATGAAGAAGAACATAAAAGAATGCATATTGCTTTGGAAATTATGGTGTGGAAAGACAGAGCTAGGAGCCAATCACAAAAAGGAAAAGAAAACAACCACCATAAAAAATAAATCCAGAAATCATATTACGTATATTCATACATGTGCATAAATCAATAAATAAATTTTAAATTAAATTTAGAAAAGATACAATAAAAACCTCAATATACAATTTGACGTCTGCTTATTAAAAAGGAAGGGAATAACCAAAATTATCTTTTGAGAGTAAGATTGGGGTGATGTTTATTCAGTTCTTTGTGTCTGTATTTTCTATGATATGAATTATTTCTTCCATCATAATGAAATAATACTAATAAATGTGATTTTAAAAACATTACACAGAATAATTGAGCTCATTTTGGAAAATCAAGGAGAGGGTGACAGGGTTAAATCCCCTATCCCTTAGAAGCTGTCCAAGTAACAAATATCTAAAATCAGAATCCATTACCCCTTACCCAGCAGAAAGTTACTCACCTAAGGCAAGAGACTAAGTGGCTATTTCAAAGAGCTATTTGAAGCAGCAAATGGGGTATTTTTTCCCCTACCTAACACTTTAATGACTTAAGTAAATCAGAAAGCCATTTACACCACTCTCAATTATCCAAGGATCTGCCAAGCTCTTTACTTCTTGTTCCCTTCCTCTGGCTTGAGGCCATTTCACTGCTCCGAAATGAGGGCCAGGGAAGGGCAAAAGAGATGAAATTAATTCAGTTGATTCAGCTTCTCATTAGCAACTCCAATAAAAGGTTTGATAAGTGAGATGGTCACTATTCATGGTTAAAATGAGGGTTCCAGAACTCTAGATAATTTCATTAAGTAAACTTGCCTTTAGAGAAACAAGATTTGCTTGCAAAATACTTTAATAGATTTGATTCTTGCTATTTTTAAGAGTTAGGACTTGTATTAAGGTGATATTTTTCTCTCATTTTAACTTTCATTTGAAAATAAAACTCATAACCAAATTATATTGTTACATTGTATGCATGTACTAATATTGAATAACAAATCCCACAATTATGTACAACTATAATGCATCCATAAAAATGTGGAAAAAACTCATAAAAACAAGAACCGTGTCCTTCAATATAAAGCAACACTTTCTCAGTTGAGTAGATGGATCATACTGCAAAAGCATTTCAGGGGAAAGATGCTATCTGGCCACCAGAACACTCTTAAGAATAAATTTAGGAGGGCAAAAACTTCCAAGCAAACAAGCCTTGGCCATACAACCTATCATACCTTCTTTTTTTTTTTTACATATTTTTATGGTGCATTTACAGTTATATACAATGGTGGGATTCATTGTTACATATTTATGTATATACACACAATGTAACACTTGGAATTTTGCCAATATCATCCTTCAATATTTCCCCTTTTCCTACCTTCCTCCTTCACCTGGTCCCTTTCCTCTACTCTACTGATCTCCCTTTAATTTTTGTGATCCCACTACCATATTTCTTTTCCTGTTTTTTTTCCAGAAGAAAATATCCCTATGGTAGGTACTACTATCCATTTTACAGAAGATCAAATAGACTCAGAGGCTTGTCCAAGAACATAGAGCTATAAATAAGGAAGCTCATCCAAACCTAGCCTGTGTGCTTAACTGCTGAAGCCCTTCTTTCAATCACTGCAGGAAACTGTACACTCCATATTTATAATGTACAGGAAACTCAGGTATGTAATCTTGGGTAGGGGGTTATATTTGATTTTATCTGTTTTTCCTATGTCTTTACATCTTACAAGACAGAGAAACCAAATAAAGGAAAACAAGTCACATATCCCTTGTGCCTTGTCTCTACAGTAATAGTAGCTCTTACTTCATCACATTTACATAAATATGAGGCACTGTTGTTGAGTCCTTTTTTTTTTTAAAAGAGAGTAAGAGAGGAGAGAGAGAGAGAGAGAATTTTTTTTTAATGTTTATTTTTTAGTTCTCGGCGGACACAACATCTTTATTGGTATGTGGTGCTGAGGATCGAACCCGGGCCGCACGCATGCCAGTCCAGCGCGCTACCGCTTGAGCCACATCCCCAGCCCTGTTGTTGAGTCCTTTTTATGGATCAATCCATTCACCCTTACAGCAATTCAAGGATGCAGTCCTTATTATCATCTCCATTTTTCAAAATGGCAAATGAGGCTCACAGAGGTTATGGGATTTCAGCATCCCAGATTCCATGCTCTTTTTTTTGGTATTAGGGATTGATCCAGGGGAACTCTACTACTGAGTTATATCCCCAGTTGTCATACATTTTTGACACTTTCTATTGGCTAGAAAGGATTTTTCAGAGCTAAAATCTCATGACAACATAGAGCATTTTCCTGTTCCCATGGGTCCTTACAGACTTTTCTTCCTTGGAGAAACCCAGAGATAAGGTAGTATAAGCCAAGGTGTTTACAGCATATCACCCTTTGTTATCAAATAGACAAAACAGACTGGAGAGCAATGGTAATAAAGCAAAAAACAATTTTCTCTTACTTGAAGACCACGATAGCTCCCGGAGTTGGAGGACAGGCCAGGAGGAAGATCTGCAATTGAAGAATTAAGAATGGTTAGCAAGAGAAATGCTAGACACAGTGAGATGGTGTCACTTTTATAACACAAAAAATAATCAAAATGCTAACATATACAAAAAATATAATATAAAAATTAAAAAGGTAAAATTTTATGTTTTGATGTATGAATTAAAAAATAAATGTAAAAAATTTAAAAGGCAAGAAGGTGGTTTTCCAAAGTCCATGTTTGTGTTTACACACACATACACATGTGTGTGCAAATGTGTGAGAGAGAATGTGTGTCTATGTGAGAAAGTGACAAGACTCAATTCTTCAATGCTTTAATTTCAATATGACACAAGTAGTCAGTCTTAGAAGCTTTTAACCCAGGGCATGTAAAAATAGATTCTGAGCATGAAACATGCATACATATGCCATCTGGTTTGCCTCCCGTGGGGGAAAGTGGGTTTATCAATACCCAGCACTGCCAAATTTAGCAATAAAATACAGGACGCCAAGTTAAATTTGAATTCCTGATAAACAATGAATAATGTTTTAGTAAAAGTTGGTCTTCAATATTACATTGAACACTTATACTAAAACATTGCTCACTGTTTATCTGGAATTTGGATTTAACTTGAGTATCCTCTATTTTCTATGGCAACCCTATCAAAATACCACCCCCAGGTTCCAAATCTCCCTCTGATTTGATTCTTTTGTTTCTAAGCATGCCTAGATGATTTTTTCTCTTTCAATCTCCTCTCAGGTGAAACCAAACTAAAAGAATCTTGTACTTCTAAGACACCAATCAGTTCCCTGCTACTTGGTGTGATCTAAACCTGGATTACAACCTTTGAAAACCCACAGCCCTTTGACTTTCACCTATGTGGCAATAACTCAAATGTTTCACGAAGAGATTTAAAAAAAAAAATCTGTTGCAAAACTTGCTGTTGAACATGCAAATCCCTGGGTTCTCCCATTAAGTATTCTGATTGCACAAGTCTGGGACCTCAGGAATCTGCATATTTAATAAAAGCTCCAGGAGCTCAACCCCTGCTATAAGCTCTATGTTTGATCTTGGACTGAACTATGATGGGTGCAAGACATTATGCAGAACTAAGAGGCAGACAAAAGAATGAAATTCATGTTTGTGAAGTTCCTTTACCTACAGGGATTCAAAGGTGATATTTAGGAACTCACTAATATATGTCTTTATCTTGTTGAGAGCTCTGATGAATGTGTATTATTTGCATTATGGACTAGTTGGGTTTGTCATGTGTATGTTTTTTAACATTTCCTTCTCTCAGAGTCTACATTTAGGAAACAAAAAAGGGTTCTATAAGGAAAATTATTAAGGAAACACACTTGCTTGGCAGCTTGAATGCCTGCCAAGAAGAAGAAAAAGGATGGAAGAGAAGGGGTCTTAAAAAGAACAGGACCCAGAGCCCATCACCTGCACAATACCTTATCAAAGAACCCCTCCAACGAAAAAGCCATCAAGAGAGAATGTGCCTTTCCCCCTGTGGATCAATTTGATTAAAAGTACAAAGCCAAGGATAATTACAGGTCTACAATCCTTTAATGGCAAATCCAAAAAGCTCTCAAAATGAAAATCTGTTTTTTGTTTTTTGTTTTTTTCAAATCGGAGGTGGTAGCAAAACATGACTTGAATGGAGGTGAGACTATTTACCCTTATTTATTATTTACCCTTATTTATTTCCACCTCACATGGTAAACAGTCATATTTTCCATAAAAATAATAATTTGATTGTAGAGTGCTGTTTCAGGGCCCCCTGAAAATATATGTCAAATATTCAACCTTGCATAGTACTGACTTTGTAAATTTCAAAGGATTCTGATTTTTAAAATATATCTGTCCTTCCTAGTTTGGGATAAGGATTGTAGACTTGGAATTTTCATTATGCAAACATTACCTTTCTCCCACTCCCTAGCCCACCCCCTTAGGAGCAGTGTAAGAAAGAAATAAAGCTGATATTCTTTACCCCTGATCCAGCAGTAAAGTTACTCACCTTAGGCAAAGGACCAAGTTGAAGGCTGCACATAGTTACCCAGCATCAGGCCCATCAAAGGCTACACTCTGAAGCTACAGTATACTGAGGAGACAGGGACCTCAGCCACCTTGGAAAGGTCCTTAGTACTTCTGGAATCTCTAAAGAGCCAAGCCTTCCTGAGCTTGTGGAATACCCCCAGAAACTTCCAAAATGCTAAATAGAGAAGTAAAAATGTGACACTGGGTCTCACAGTTAAGTCTTACTTTTCTATACCCACAGGTAAGGTGGGTAAGCAGATTCTTGGGGACCAATTTCCCTATAACTCCATTTGGTTGGTTCTCATTTTCCCTTTGCCAGATGTCCAGAAATATACTACAGGGAATAAGCCTCCAGTTCTAACCCAGTTGGTTGTCCTATTATCCTCCATCAGTCACAGAACTAACTTCTTTAGAGGCAGCTAATCTAGTCTTGATTCTAAATGAGGTTTCCAGTAGTTACTTTCATGTGCCCAAGTCATTCTAATCAGCACTTTGGCCTTTCTTCATTGCCTGTTTATTCCCATCACCAAGATGAAGAATACGATCTTTAAATCAGATATAGAAGAGTGGATCTGAAAAAGAACCCCAAAATCATCATATTCTATTTTCAGTGATCTTAAGACCTCCTTTAGCAACTTCAAAATTTATGACATTGAACCTCTTGGCTCTATCATGCTAGGGTCACATCTATAGTCACTATTAGCCAACGGAGCCTTGTGAAAATAACATTTTAATTTAGAAGCCCAAAGTACCCCAGCCCTTGCCTGATTATCCCTGCCTTCTTCCTTGGTTGGTTTCTAATCACCTCCAAATTTTAGTAGCATGCATTTGAGACTAGAAGACAGAAAACTAAACTATCCCTTGAGATACAATAAAGTAGGAAGAGAGGGCACTTTTAGGTGCAAACAAGAAGATGAGCATGACTCTGAGCCTATCCCAGCTCCAACTAGCTACTCTATATTCATGCTAAAATCTGTCCAGCTCAGCCCATGAATTAAAGGGCATGAGCAGGGAGCCTACAAAGAACTGCCACTTCCCCATTGCCTGGTAGGTAGGCAGGGCTGTATTATTAAACCCCATGTTACAAATGAAGACACTGAGGGAGAGTTCTAACAAACCTTCAGATGATACCCCTCTATATCCTAACTTCAAGTTTAATGCCCTTTCTACCTAACGTCTGACAGACCAGGCCAGGGCTTATTATTTTTTAGAGTCTAGCCCAGTCCCTTGACCACATGGGGCTCAGGGACTCACCCCAATGACTCAAGCCTATGCCACCAGACAGTTCCCAAGATCTACACTCTACACTATAAGACATCCCCAAATACAAACTGAACAAGACAGCAAGTCACATTTATGCAGATGAGTTTCAGAGTTCAGCATTCGGGAAAAGAAGGCTCATTATCATGCCAATCTGCCTCATACCCGGGTCTTGTGGGTGCTTGTAATTCTTAAATCCTTATGAAACTTAAGTCTTTTGGGCTGATTTTCCCCCAGAAAATTCCACAGGTTCCATTCAATACCATACTCCTTTAGTTTCTCCAGGAAAGGTCCTCATAGTCTCTGAGGTTCTCCTGCCTCAAAACCTGTGAATGCAGCTAGTTCCTAAGCACCCAATCTAGCCACCAGATGCTGTCTCAGTTAATCTTCCACCTCTGAACTGCTATGGCTCTAGGTTTTCACCTCTCCTACCCAACCTCTCAGCCTTCATTTTTCCTGCTTCCTATTATTGTCCCCAGTCATATGACTTCACTGTCATCATTGTTCAGTTTCCCATAAGCTTGTTCATTATCCCAACACCAGACTGAACATATCACAATTTTCATAGCACCTAAATAAGGAAGTGCTGGTACTAGGAGAAATGTAATTGGAAAGAGGGCCCAGTAAGCACAGATCATCCTCAATGTGGGGTTAGCCAGGTTAAGCAGTGAAGGGACATGAAGGAACTAAATGAAAAGTAAATAAAGTGACATCTAAAGAAGAGTATTATTTAGCCTAGCCCACAACCTCCTCAGGCTCAGTCCTTTTAGCACCAGTACTTCTATTCTACCTCCTATGTGGGCACCCAGTTATCTGGGTGTTCCCAAACACAAGTACATATGACCTTACCCTCCAAAAGAAAGATTAATTCCTTGGGCTGCCCAAAATCTGTCCTAAGGCTCTTTTCCCCTAATGTTCAGATGTTTGGGCCCACATCATCTCCCTCAGGACCACTACAATAATCTCTTCACTAGTCTCCAACCTCCAGGCACACTGCTACAAGGATCTGTCTAAAATGGCTTTGATCTGCCATTTTAAATCCTTCCATGGCTTACCAGTACCTACAGAAAAAGCTCAGGATCCTATGTGCAGCAAACAAGGCCTTCTTTGTTCCCGGTTCCACCTATTTTCCCAACATGGCAGTCTTATGCGTGATGCCAAACTGCATCCTGAATGTACTTCATGTTTATCAATATGCTTCTATGACCTCATTTCTGATAGCTTCATTTTATTCAATCATATAGATATGCAACAATTTATCTAACCAATATCTTCCTTTTGCACATGTAAGTTAGGTCTACATTTTTAGTTCCTATACTATCTCCTTAGTCCACATTCACAGGAGACTTTACTGTTCTTCAAATGAAATACTATTGTCTCTTGGTATCTGTGGGGGATTTGCTTCAAGATCCCTGTAAATAGCAAAATGAAAGTATACTCAAGTCCATTCTACAAAATGAAATAGTATTTACCTATCAGTATTTACCTATGCTCATCCTCCTGCATATTTAAATTCTTCCTAGATTACTTACAATACCTAATATAATGTAAATGCTATATAATTACATACTATATTGTTTAGAGGATAATGACAAGAAAACATCTATATATGTTAAGTACAGACACAATTATGTTCTTTGTATATTTTCCCTCAGCAACTGACTGAATCCCTGGATGTGGAACCCAAGGACATGGCTGTATATTGTTTTAAGGCCTTTGGCTCTATCATGCTAAACTTCATACTAGAAAAGTTACTTGAATTGATACTCCCTCCAGGAACAAATGAGAATGTGTCTTCTGCTGCAAACTGGCTAACAGGTAATTTAAAGTGTTAATTAAAACTTTTCAAGGCAAAACATACACAGAGTTTATTGTTTTAATTTGCATGTCTCAGATTACCAGAAATATTAAACTGTTTTCTAACGTGTTTATTGGCCAGGCATATTTTTTCTTTTGGGATGTGACCATCTGTGCACTTTGTCTACAATTCAACTGATATGTTCATTGCTTACTGAGTTGTAAGAGTTATTTACATACTAATAACATTTAATACAGACTTATGACATTTAGCAAACATTTTTCCCAAGTTGTCACTGTCATAGCTCTGCTTATGGTAGTTTTTTTCTTTATGTAGAGAACTTTTTTTGTCTTTATGTAATCAGAAATATTTGTCATTTCCTTTCCATTTGACTTAGGTCTTTGATATCACAATTTGAAAATTTCACAACCCCAGGATTATAGAGTCACCTACTGTTTTCCTAATTTTAATTTTAAAATTTAAATCTCCAACATCAAGACACAGTATCATTGTGAGTTCTGGTTCATGATTCCACAATGGCCTTCCTGCCTTTCCCTCTTATGGCTAATTCTTATTTACCTTTCAAATGCAAAATTAAGCACTTCCTCCAGGAAATATTCCCTAAACTTCATGGTTAAATGCTGGTCTTCAGTAATCCAGTACCTTCCTTAGTTTACCTCTTTCTGAGAATTTACCACTTTTGTCAGTGTAAGAAGCTTACAAAGAAGCTTTCCTTAAGGATTTATTTATTTTTTTCCTTTAATTTTTATTGTTGGTTGTTCAAAACATTATATCATTCTTGACATATCATATTTCACACTTTGATTCAAGTGGGTTATGAACTCCCATTTTTGCCCCATATACAGAATGCAGCATCACATCGGTTACACATCCGATGTTTTACATATTGCCATATTAGTAACTGTTGTATTCTGCTGCCTTTCCTATCCTCTAATATCCCCCCTCCCCTCCCCTCCCATCTTCTCTCTCTACCCCCTCTACTGTAATTCATTTCTCCCCCTTGTTTTTTCCCTTTCCCCTCACTTCCTCTTGTATGTAATTTTGTATAACCATGAGGGTCTCCTTCCAATTCCATGCACCCTTAAGGATTTAGATTAAGGAAAGTAAAGAGTTCCTACTTTGCAGAGTAGATTGAACCTGCTTGAATTATACCTTAGGAAGGAATGGAGTTGGCCAACCACAGGCAGTATTGCTAACTGGTTATGAACACAGGCTTTAGAATCAGGACAGATGGGGATTCACGTGCTGACTCTGCCACTCATTAGCACTGTGGGTGATAGCAAATGTGGGTGATAGATAATGATAGTTGATTGTAGAGTGCTGTTTCAGGGCCCCCTGAAAATATATGTCAAATATTCTACCATAAAAATAATAATTTGATTCTGATTTTTTAAATATAGCTGTCCTTCCTACTTTGGGATAAGGGTTGTAGACTTGGAATTTTCATTATGCAAGGATCAAAATCTATTGAGTTTGTATGACTATGATGATGGCTGTACATTCTAAACTTTAAACGTGTGAGTTGTACGGTGTGTGAATTATATCTATAAAGTTGAAGGCAAATATATATCCTTAATCCATACCACTGTGGTATTCAAGTCACCCCTTCCTCCTTCATCATCATTTAATCCCCAATAAGCATTACTGCTCACTACTCCCTTTGACCTGACCTTCTATCAAGCCAAGATCAATTTTTCACCATTACCCATACCCTATACAGTTCCTACCTCTGTCTTTCCTCCCACTATTTACCCCCTAGGCCTTTTCTAATAAGAGACACCAAATCTCTTTTCTCCAGCAACCGAAGTACTCACTGGGTTTTGAGATTTCATTTAATTTGGGACATTAGATGACTCACTCTTGTTACATACAAAGTTATAGTCGCACTCAGAGCCAGGATCTCATTCCCAATTTTTCTCTCCTGACAAACCTTAAATTGCCATTGGTAAACTACTGAACAAAGTCCAAAGCCCTTTACAGGGTAATTGAAGCCCTCAACATTGTGGCCTCCAGACGCCATGCTAGTTTTACCCCTCACTATGTCTTGGTTTTCACTTGAATCTCAATTCCCACATTTCTGCACTAAAATAAATATTAGTGCTTAGCTGTAGTATCAAAGCCTCAACTGTTGATTCTATGCAGGTATGAAGTGCTTTCTGGACATTTCCAAGTAGGTGTCACTTTGGACTTTAGATCTGGCATGCCTAAATCTGAACTTGTCATCTTCTTTCCCTAACTTCTTCCCTATCTATTGCTCCTCATAATGGGAGAGGAGAGGAACCTCCTCCTTTGAGTAGAACTCCAACTGAGAAGGGTAAAAGGAAGAAGGAAATCAAAGTCACCAAAAGGCAAACACTGCAGAAATAACTTGCAGGCAAGAACTGCTGACAGATGCTGTAATTAGTAATGAAAGTATTATCAATTTTGTACGTAAGATATTGGCTAATTAGAAAGAGAAAAACAGAAAATTTGCAGTGGTGTTTGAAACCTGAGATACTACCCTAAGCAAGCGACTGGGTTTAGTATCACAGGAATAACACATGTCATCATGTACACCATGATATGATATCATCTAGAACAGTGCATCATTTCCATGATAATTTTAATCAAACTGTATAATCTTAGTCTATTCATGAATAAAATATCACACAAGCCAAAACTGAAGACATTCCACAAAGAAACTGAAGAGAATTCTTCAAAATTATAAAGGTTATGAAAAAGAGTAAGGAAACTGTCATGGATTAGATGACACTAAGAGAAAAGTTTAATGCAACATGGGCCTCTGGACTGGATGCTGGAAGAGAAAAAGAACATTAGTGGAAACACTGATGGAATGTGAATAGAGTATGTAGTTTATTTAATGGCACTACACCAACATTAATGGTTTTGACGACTGTACTATAATTATATAAGATGTTAACATTAGGGGAACCTGGATGAAAGATATATAAGAACTATCTGTATTATCTTTACAACTCTCTGTCAAAATCATTTACAAAACAAAGTTTACAAAAGGTATTGTCCATCACCAAGCCTATCTTCAAATCTTAGAGCTATCTTCGATACCTCCATCTTTCTCAACCTCCCACATGTAGTCAGCCCCTGTCCTATCATCTTGCTACTTCAGTATATCTCAAATCTGACTTCACTGTTTTCCTAATTCAGCCCCTATCATTTTCTTAAACTACTACAGCAGTTTCCTATCTGACCTCCAGCTCTCTGACATCTCTCTCCTCCTTTAGTCTAGTTCATATACTATTGCCAGGTTCCTAGTCTTAAAATAGCACCCTGATCATGTTATGCTCATTCTTAAAATTTTCAGGTGACAGATTTATTGCAGTCCTTATCAGAATCCCAGTGACTGTAGAAACTGACAAACTGATTTGAAAATTCACGTGGAAATGCAAAGAATCCCAAATAGCTGAAAAGAGCCTGAAAATAAGAATACTACCTGTTCTCAAAACTTACCACAAGCAACAGTATGCAGTACAACACTAGCATAGGATACGCATACAGACTATGGAATAGAATTGAAAGTCCAGAGCTGGGGTTGTGGATCAGTGGTAGAGCACTTGTTTAGCATGTGTGAGGCACTGAGTTCTATCTTCAGTGCCACATAAAAATAAATAAATAAATAAATAAAGGTATTGTGTCCATACACACACATACACATACACACACACACACCACACACAAAGAAAGGACAGAAATAAACCTATATGACTGATTATCAACAAGGGGGCAATACCATTCAATGGTTGAAACAAATAGTCTCTTCAACAAATGGTGCTAGTTATTATTATCCACATGCAAAGAAAGAAGCTGGATCCCTACCTTATAACCACAGACAAAAGTTAATCTAAAAATCAATCAAAGACCTAAATGTAACAGCAAAAATTATAAAGCTATAAAAATAGGAATACATCTTTCTGATCTCAGATTTGACCATTGATTCTATCATATGACATCAAAAGCAAAAGTAAAAAAAGAGAGCATGAAGTCAACTTCATCAAAATTAAAATATTTTGTGCTTCAAAGGACATTATTAGGAAAGTAAAAAGATGACCCAAAGACTGAAATAATTTAACAAATCATGCATCTGATAATGATCTGATCCAGAATAAATAAGTAGTTCTTCAACTTCAACTGTAAAGAGACAAATAATTCAACTAAAAAGTGAGCTAAAGATATGAATAAACATTTTCCAAAGAAAATATACAAATGACCAATAAGTACATGAAAAGATGTTCGATATCATTAGTCATCAGGGAAATGCCAATCAAATCTACAATGAGATAACACTTTACACCCACTAGCATGGTTAAAATTAAAGGGACAATTACAAATATTCAAGAGGGTGTAGAGAAACTAGAACCCTCCCACACTGTCAGTGGGGATGTAAAATGATGTTGCCACTTTAGAAAACAGCCTGGCAGTTCCCTGGCAGGTTAAACATAGTTATCATATGACCCAAAGATTCCATTTCTATACCCATGAGAAATGAAAGCCTACATTCACCCAAAAACTCATAAATAGATGTTCATAGCACATTGTTCTTAATAGCTGCAAAGTAGAAACAACTCAAATGCTCATCAATGGACAAATGAATATACAAAATGTGCCATATATCCACACCAAATATTATTTGCCTGCTAAGAGGAGTGAAGTACTGATTTATAGTATATGAGTGATCCTTAAAAACATTATAGTAAGAAAAAGCACTCAAAAATATCACATAGGAATCTATATTTATGAAATGTCCAAGGATCAAAATCTATTGAGTTTGTATGAAGTACATTAGCCATTGTTTAGGGTTGGGGGTAAAGGAAGAAGAGGCCGTGAGGATGATAGCAAATGATAATATAGGTTCTTCCTAGGGTAATGAAAATGTTCTAAAGCTGACTATGATGATGGCTGTACATTCCTATGAATATACTAAAAATCATTCAATTCTAAACTTTAAATGTGTGAGTTGTACGGTGTGTGAATTATATCTATAAATTTGTTTTTAAAAATCCACAACTTTGGAATGCTCCTCATTGCCTAGAGGAAAAAAAATCAAGCTCCTTGATGTGGTATTCAAGTCACCCCTTCCTCCTTCATCATCATTTAATCCCCAATAAGTATTACTGCTCACTACTCCCTTTGACCTGACCTTCTATCAAGCCAAGATCCATTTTTCACCATTACCCATACCCTATACAGTTCCTACCTCTGTCTTTCCTCCCACTATTTACCCCCTAGGATTCTCTCCACCCAATTCATCCTCAAAGGTTTATATCCTGCTTCTAATTCAAGGCCCAGTTCAAATGCTTCCTCCTGTACAAACTGTTCTCTGTTCTTCAACCCTTACATAGTAGGTTCTCTAACATTGCTTATGGAAAGAAGAAAGGTAAGTAGTTTCTCCCACACAATGGCTGCCTCTGCCAGAGAATAAACCTTCCAAAGCATAATTGTACTTCTTTCTTCTTTTCCTGATTCACAGCATTTCACTGTTTTATCCCCCTTACTAAGTCCCTGAAAACAGTTCCAAACTGCCATTCTCTATTCCTCCCAAAACCCCGTCCTTGATGAAGAAAGAAGATTACACTATGTCAGGGCTGCCGAGTATAGCTGTGTAGGTTGTGCACTGCACAACCCTAGTGGCGCCATTCAATTATAGTCTATGTGAATGGCACCCTCTCCTAGGGTTGTGCAGTGCATAACCGTTCATGGCAGCCCTGCTTGGAAACATACCTAGAATTTGGGAACAAAGGCAAA